TATATATATATATATATATATATATATATAAAGAGTAATTCCTAGATTCACTGATGACATTATTTAAGCATACTTTACTAAGAAATATGTAACAGCTCTGCATAGATTACTAATTGTTACCTGCTTTCTCAAAGAATGCCAGAGAAGCAACCCTTAAATTTTTTTTCTTAAGTAGATATGAAGGAAAATGACAGAGCCAACCAGTTTGTGTGCTTAAAACTAGGTATTGATTGTTATGAATATCATGTAATTGATACCTGAGAGTCTGATTTTGAAGCTGAATGCAAATATACTTTGAAAATACATCTGAAATTTGTGTGATAAAATTAAAGCATTTTCATTTCGGATAATCTTAACTCTACACTTACTACAAATTAATATTTATAATGTAGTGCAGGAAATCACACTAATTCTCAGTTGTGTGATCTACATAATGCCTGAGATATGAATCAGGTGTCTTAAAACCCAAATTGGCAGTATCTCTTAGAGCAATTAATCAAGCATGTCTCCTGCAAAACAGAATGACCTTGCTCAGGAACAGGATAGTCATGCTCTGGTTGAAGATGACAAAGACATAGATTTATAAACTACTGATATCAGAAATCCTGTAATTTTTTGAGTGATTCACTTAGAATTTACTAAAGTTGAAAAACAACATGGTGCTTTATGATTAGAACCCAAGGCAGGAAAATGTAAGGTACTAATTAAATCCTGAAATTGTACTTAAGTTATTGGTTATATACAAAAATAGTTCTCCATGAACATTTATGAACACTGACTTTTCTTTGCCAACTTTTACTTAAACCTGTAATTTTTATTTACATAAGAAAATACTAAGTATTCTGAACTATTCACATTCAACGTAACTTTGGTAAAATATACTTTATATTTTAATTATCTGGAAACTGTCTACTTATAGACACCAGACATCTATAGTCATTCTTCAATAGAAGGAATATTTTATTGTGCTAAGATATAATTTGTTTTACTAATTCTCCTAGGCATCATTTTAGACTACTCAAGCAAATATTACTTTTAGAAATGATTAGAAAACCATGGGTCCCTATATTTGTTGAACTGAATAACTTGGCAATAAAACTCAGTTAAGGCTCTTGGCATTGGTGACACCTCTTCCCACTCTGACTTGCTGCTGTGGTAAACTTGCACTTCATCTGTGATCTCATCTGGTGCATAATCTCCACCTAATATGTAAATCTTATCCTCAATCCCAATTGCACCTGCATTAAAGCCTGCACATTCAAAAGAGCCCTCTCCTTTCCAAACACAAGTATCAGGACAAAAACTATATACCTTATAGGTGGAAAGGTCACATATATACAGGGTGCAGTTTACTGAGACAGCTTTAATTAAAGTAGCATGAAAGAACTGTCCAAACTCTGCTACTAGTTCAGACCACTGGTCAGTTGTAGCATTGTATTTAAAAAAACAATCAAGTGATGGGTTAAAAGCATCTGCAATCTCTACCTCGGATCCAAGAACATAAATGACATTCTGGCATGCACTGGCTTCTGGGTAATAGATGCCTCTCGGTAAAGGGCTAACTGATATCCATTCTTTGGATAGTGGATCATAAGATTCAACATCTAAGAGACTCTTAATGTCCTGGGATCCTCTAGTCTTTCCACCTATAACAAATAATCGACTGACAGCCATGACTGATGTATGCATGGTTCTTGGGGTTTTCATGGTTGAAACCAAGAAAAACTCATTTTTGACTGGACAGTAGCACCAGGTCTGGTCAGTGGCATCATGATAAGACTCAGCAATATGAAGTCGAATCTTCCTACAACACTTCCCTTTGCAACCACCCATCAAGAATATTTTCTCTCCATAACTAGACAGACTAGATCCTGGCAAATCAATCAGATGTGATTGTGGCAGTATTTTCCATGAGTCAGTTTTAATGTTATAGCAAAATGTATGTTGATTTTCTCCATTTTCCTCAGTTTTATGGATGAATATATATTTTTCAGTTGTGGATGGTCGAGCATCAGCGAAGAGGCCACTAGAAACTTGCACACACTTAATGGCATCCACAACTATGTCAAAACAGTTTGTGCTTTTGAGTAAACACTCCTCATTGAGCAGACAGTCTCGAAGTGTGTCCTCGGATAACTGATGTAGCCTTACTTTTGTAATCAAGTGAGGCAGATGCTTTCGCCTGGACTCTAAGTTGTATTTGATCCATGTAATGACAACCTTCAAGACCATTCCTTCTTCTGGCACATTTAACTCATCTGACTCCAGACACTTCTGCAGCACTCCAAAATTCATCTCTAAAAACTCTCTGGATTTAAATAACAAATGAAAGTGATGCTGTACAAAGCATAAAACATGATTAAACAAATGTATAGCGCCATAGCTGTCTGATAGAGATAACAAGTGCAAACAATTGACGAGACTGATGCTTTTTATTAAAAAGTCACTGCAAGCTTTTGACAGGAAGGGAACCTGAAGAAAGGATGATAACTGAAAAAACATTTCTACATTATCATCTGTTATTCTTGCTTTTCCAGTATAGGCATAGTCAAGAAATGCCTTTATTGCTTTGGAGGACAAGTTAGTAATGGTAACACATCCATCATCTCTTTCTTTCATCCTTACTTCAAACATAGCCCTGAAAAAATAAAGAACAAAGAAGCACTAGTGTTTTAATCCACAATTATTATCAATATTACCACACAGATTCTTCTTTACCCTTTAATTTAAAATATGTTCATGAAATCACAATCGATGACATCCTAATGAACTATTTTAGCATTTAAAATAATTATATGCCATAATACACATCTAGTATTATATAACCTTCATATTAAAAGCTTTACAATGTAGCTGAGACACAGTAAAAAATGAAAAAAAGGCTATAAAGTGGTTCAAATATTTTGCATTGGTGAATTCTATAAAACTCAGTTTTCTTCAATGGCAAATTAATTACAATTGTGGTAATAACTAAAATTACATTTTTCATCATAATTAAAGCTTATTTTATTTTTATTGAGCTATATATTTTTCTCTGCTCCTCTCTCTTTCTCTCTACTCCCCTTCTACCCTCTCCCATAATCCCCATGCTCCCAATTAACTCAGAAGATCTCTTCTTTTTCTACTTCCCATGTAGATAAGACACATGTATGTCTCTCTTAGGGTCCTTGTCTAGATTATGAACTGTAGGCCGTTTTTTTTTTTTTTTTGCTTTATGTAGAAAAGCCACTTATGAGTGAGTACATATGATATTTGTCTTGCTGGGTCTGGGTTACCCCACTCAATATGATGTTTTCTAGATCCATGCATTTGCCCACAGATTTCAAGGTGTCACTATTTTTATCTATTGTGTGGTACTCAATTGTGTAAATGTACCACATTTTCCTTATCCACTCTTTGGTCGGAGGGCATTTAGGTTGCTTCTAGATGCTGAATATGACAAATAATGGTGCCATGAACATAGTTGAGCATCTTTTGAGTATATATCTAAAAGTGGTACTGTTGGGTCTTGAGGTAGGTTGTTTCCTAATAGTCTGAGAAATTGCCATACTGATGTTCAAAGGGGCTGTATCAGTTTGCACTCACATCAGCAATGGAGGAGTGTTCCTTTCACCCCACATTTTCTCCAGTATAAGTGTCATCAGTGTTTTTGATCTTTGCCATTCAGACAGGTGTAAAATGGCAGCTCAGAGTTTTTTTAATTTGCATTTCATTGATGGCTAAGGATGTTATGCCTTTCCTTAAGTGTCTTTTAGCCATTTTTGATTCCTCTGTTGCATGTTCTCTCTTTAGGTCTGTACTCCATTTTTTTTTATTGGATTATTTGTTCTTTTGATGACCAATTTCTTGAGTTCTTTGTATGTTTTGGAGATCAGCTCTGTCTGATGTGGGGCTGGTGAAGATCTTTCCCCATTCTGTAAGCTGCCGTTTTGTTGTGTTGACTATTTCCTTTGCTTTAGAGAAGAGTCTCAGTTTCAGGAGATCCCATTTTTTAATTGTTTCTCTCACTGTGTATACTATTGGGGTTCTATTTAGGAAGTAATCTCGTGTGCCAACACACTCAAGCGTACTTCCCACTTTCTCTTCTATGAAGTTCAGTGTGGTTGGCTTTATGTTCAGGTCTTTGAACCATTTGGACTTGACTTTTGGGCATGGTGATAAATACACAAGAATTTTCATTCTTCTACACGTTGATATCTAGTTATGCCAGCACCATTTGTTTAATATGCTTTCTTTTCTCCATTTTGTATTTTTTGCTTCTTTGTCAAAAATCAGGTGTTCGTAGGTATGTGGCTTGATATCTAGGTCTTCGATTCAGTTCCATTGGTCCTCCTGTTTGTTTTTAAACCAATACGTTATTTTCAGTACTGTATTCTATAGTAGAGTTTGAAGTAAGGGGATTGTGATGCCTCCAGAAATTCCTTTATTGTATAGGACTTTTGTGGCTATCTTGGGTTCTTTACTTTTTTCATATGAAGTTGAGTATTGTTCTTTCGAGGTCTGTGAAATGCCAAAATTTTGCTGGCATTTTGCTGGGCATTGCATTGAATCTGGAGATTGCTTTTAGTAGAATTGCCATTTTTACTATGTTAATTCTAACTATCCAAGAGCATGGGAGATCGTTCCTCTTTTTGGTGTCTTCTTCAATGATTTAAAGTTCTTGTCATACAGGTCTTCTACTTGTCAAACAAATATTTTATGCTATTTGTGGCTATTGTGAAGTGTGATATTTCTCTGATTTCTTTCTCAGGCCACTTATCATCTGTGTAAAGGAGGGCTACTTTTTTTTTTTGAGTTAATCTTGTTTCCTGTTAAATTACTGAAAGGTTTGATGAGTTGTAGAAGTTCTGTGGTAGAAATTTTGGGGTTGCTTATGTAAACAATCATATCAGCAAATGGTGAGAGTTTGACTTCTTTTCTGATTTGCATCCCCTTAATCTCCTTTTGTTGTCTTATTGCTCTAAATAGAACCTCAAGAACTATGTTGAATATCTATGTAGAGAGTGGACAACCTTGGTTTGTTCTTGATTTCAGTGGGATTTGCTTTGAGTTTCTCTCCATTTAGTTTGATGTTGTCTGTTGGAGTGCTATATATTGCCTTTATTATGTTTAGGTATGTTCCTTGTGTCCCTGCTCTCTCCAAGACCTATATCATGAAAGATGTTGTATTTTTTCAAAGGCTTTTTCAGTATCTAATGCAATTATCATGCTTTTTTTTTTCAGTTTGCTTCTATGGTGAATTACACTGACAGACTTTCATATGGTGAACCATCGCTGCATCTCTGGAATGAAGCTGACTTGATCATGGATAATTTTTCTGATGTATTCTTGGATTCAGTTTGCCAGTATTTTATTGAATAATTTTGCATCCATGTTCATGAGTGAGATTAGTTTGTAATCCTTTCTTAGTAAAGTCTTTGTGTGGTTTTGGTATCAGGGTAATTTTAGCCTCTTAAAAGAGTTTGGCAATGTTCCTTCTGTTTCTATTGTGTGGAACAATTTGAGTATGGGCATTAGTTCTTTGAAAATCTTGTAGAATTCTGCACTTAAACCATCTGGTCCTGAGTTTTTTTTTTGGTTGGGAGACTTTTGATGACTGTTTCTATTTCTTTAAGAGTTATAGGTCTATTTAATTTGCTTATTTGGTCTTGATTTAATTTTGGTAAGTGATACTTATCCTGAAAATTGTCCATTTCCTTTAAGTTTTCCCATTTTGCGGAATACAGGTTTTTGAAGTATGACCTGATGATTCTCTGGATTTCCTCTATGTCTGTTTTTATATCCCCCTTTTCTTTCGTGATTTTGTTAATTTGGATAATTCTCTCTCTGCCTTTTGGTTAGTTTGGATAATGGCTTGTCTATTTTTTTGATTTTCTCAAAGAACCAACTTTTTGTCTCATTGATTCTTTGTATTGTTTTCTTTGTTTCTATTTTGTTGATTTTGGCTCACAATTTGATTATTTCCTGCTGTCTAGGCTCCCCCCACAGTAAATTTGCTTCTTTTTGTTCTACACTTTTCAGGTGTTCTTTTAACTCATTACTGTGAGATTTTTCCAGCTTCTTTACATAGGCATTTAGTGCTATGAACTTTCCTCTTAACACTGCTTTTATTTTGTCCCATAAATTTGGATATGTTGTGTGGTCATTTTCTGTAATTAGAATTGAATTTATAATTTTCATTGAATTTTAGGAAAGCTTTAATTTCTTATTTTATTTCTTTCTTGACCCATTGATGATTGAGGTGAGCATTGTTTAATTTCCTTGTGTTTGTGGGCTTTCTGAAATTAGTGTTGCTGTTGAATTCTAATTTTAAGTCATGGTGATCCAATAAGATACATGGGGTTATTGCATTTTTTTTTAATCTGTTGAGGTTTGCTTTGTTACCTAGTATGTTGTCAATTTTTGAGAAGACTCCATGAGGTGCTGAGAAAGAAAGTATATTCTTTTATTTTTGGATCCATGTTCTATATATGTCAGTTAAGTCCACTTGAGTCATAACATGTGTTAATTCTCTTATTTTTCTGTTACTTTTCTATCAGACAGACCTGTGAGTATGGGGTATTAAAGTCTCCTACTATTATTGTTGGGAGTTTAATGTGTGAGTTAAGCTTTAGAAGTGTTTCTTTTACATGAGGATGCCCTTGTATTTGGGGCACAGATGTTCAGTATTGACATTTCTTTTTTAAAAAATTTATTTATTTATTATATATACAGTATTCTGGCTGCATGTTTGCCTGCAGGCCAGAAAAGGGCACCAAATCTTATGACAGATGGTGGTAAATCAACATGTGGGTGCTGGGAATTGAACTCAAGACCTCTGGAAGAGCTGTCAGTGCTCTTAACAGATAAGTCATCTCTTCTTGGATTTTTTCCTGTGACTAATATGAGATGTCCTTCTTTGTCTCTTTTGATTGATTTTAGTTTGAAATCTATTTTGTTAGATATTAGGATAGCTACACCAGCTTGTTTCTTAGGCCCATTTGATTTGATTTTTTTTCCCAATCTGTTACTCTGAGGGATAGCTGTCTTTGAGGTTGAGGTGTGTTTCTTGTATGCAGTAGAAGGATGGATTCTCTATTCTTATCCAGTCTTTTAGCCTGTGTCTTTTTTATAGGTGAGTTGAGTCCACTTACATTAAAGAATATTAATGACCAGTGACTGTGCTCCTGTTATTTTAGTTTTCATTTTTGGTGGTGATGTTATTTTATTGTGTTTTTTCCCTTCTTTGGGACTTGCTGCTGTGAGATCATCTATTGTCTGTATTTTTGTGGATGTAGCCAACTTCCTTGGGTTGGAGTTTTACTTCTAGTACTTTTGTAGGGTTTGTTGCTAGGTATTTTGCTGGGTTTGTTGCTAGGTATTGGTTAAATATGGTTCTGTTACGGATATCATGTTTTGTCTATCTATGGTGATTGAAAAGTTTGCTGAGTATAGTAATCTGGGCTGGTATCCAAGGTCTCTTATGTCTGTATAACGCTTGGCCAAGACCTTTTGGCTTTCACTCTTTCCATTGAGAAGTCAGATGTAATTCTGATAGGTCTGCCTTTATAAGTTACTTGGCCATTTTCCTTTGCAGCTCTTAAGATTCTTTATTTTGTATGTTTAGTGTTTTGATTATTATGTGGCAAGGGGATCTTTTTTTTTTGATTAGTGTTCTGTAACCTTGTATCTTCATAAGCATATCTTTCTTTAGGTTGGGTAAGTTTTCTATTATGATTTTGAGCTGGAGTTCTCCTTCTTCTATCCTTATTATTCTTAGGTTTGGTCTTTTCATGATGCCCCATATTTCCTGGATATTTTGTTAATCTTTTGTTAGATTTAATGTCTATTTAGAGTCTATTTCCTCTACTGCATCTTCAGTGCTTGAGAGTCTCTCTTCCATCTCTTTTTTATTATGACATTTATTAATATAACATATTAGGGACAAAAAGATATGAATGATTATAGTTTAATATGGATGTGCTTATATGTCAAATTGACAAGGGATCAATTGTGCTTGATTTTCTTCCATCTCTTATATTCTGCTGTCCATGCTTGTATTTGTGGTTCTTGATCATTTTATCATAATTTCTGTGTCTATAATTCCCTTGGTTTGTGTTTCCTTTATTGTCTCTATTTCTGTTTTCAAGTCTTGAATAGTTTCTTTCATATGCTTGATTGCTTTTTCTTGGTTTTCCTTAAGAGATTTGTTGATTTCTTCCAATATTTTATTTGTCTTTTCTTCCATTTCTTTGAGGGAATTTTTCATTTCCTCTTTAAGGGCCTCAAACATTCTCTGAAGGTTATTATTTTCTTTTGCTTCATTAACATTTGGTTGTTCAAGTCTTGCTGTTTTAGGGTCACTAGTTTTTATTGGTGTCATGTTGCTCTTTGTGGTATTGTGTCTCTTCTTCTTACCTTGTCTATCCACCTTTTCCTCTGATTGGTGTAACTCTGGTAGTTAATCTTCCGGGTTCTAGTGCATCCAAGGCTCAGATGGTTGTTCTTCATGGTGCAGTCAGGACCATGGTTCCAGTCACCTTGGAGGATACTTGGTGTTCCTAGGGGTTGCTCAGAGCTACTGAGCTTCCCTCTGCTTCAGTGGAGGTGGTTGCCTTGGGTTGGCTCTGGCAGAGGTCACTGGTTCAATCCTGCTCCTATGGAGGACTCTGCCTCAGGTTGGTTCCAGCTGAGGTAGGACTGCTCCCTGGCTTGGGCATGCTCCCTCAGAGGTTCATGACTCACACCCAGTCCTGCAGATGTCTCTTGCTTGGGCTTGCTCCCTCAGTGGTTGCTCCCTTGTACCTGTGCCTGCTTCTGGTGGTGGTTGCTGCCTTGGTTATGCTCCTGTGGGGGTAACAGCCTTGGGCCTGCTCCAGTGAAAGTCACTGGCTCAGGCCGTCTCTGGCAGAGATCTCTGTCTCAGGCCTTCTGCTGTAGTGGTCACTGACTTGGGCCTGCTTCTGTGGGGTGTGGCCACCTCGGGCCTGCTCGAATGAAAGTCCTGCTCTGGAGGACGTTGCTGACTCAAGCCTGTTCTGGCTGAGTTCGCTGCCTCAGGCCTGTTCCCACGGATGTCCCTTGCTTGGGTCTGTTCCCAAGGAGATCCCTGGCTTGGCCCCAGTCTTGCAGAAATCTCTGGCTTGGGCCTGCTCCCTTGAAGGTCCCTGACTCACCAATAACTGAAATTTTATAACATACACATTCAAGGCTTTAGGTTTCAAAAATTTACATTAAAGAAACAGGGAATACAATAAGAGGCCCACAAACACCAATGAATTTGTATGGCTGTGGAAAAATCTATAAAATAATACTCATGTTGTAAATGGGACAAGGGAATGTAATATCCAAAAACTGAGCCACAAAAAGTCAAAAAAAAAAAAAAGCCAAATCTATACTTTTTCGGGTAACAATCATGAAGAGATAGACTATTCTTCGAATTTGAACAATCAGGCCATCTTGGAGATTAAAACTAAGAGATTGGGACTATTTTGAACTCAGGAAAGACAAAAATACAGGTTATTCGGAAGTGTCTGGTCAGGGAATAAAATGTACTTTACTGTTTATGCTGGTTTTATAAAAGCCTGCAGCTGTGCTGATAACATCAAAAAATTGTGGTGGTTTGAATGAGAATGACCCTTGTAGGCTCAAGTTTGACTGCATGATCCCCAGATGGTGAAATAATCTGGGAGGGATTAAATGGGGTGGCCCTATGGAAGTGTGTCATTGGGGAGATCTGAGGTTTCAAAAGAGTGGTGATCTCTGCCTCCTGCTTGTGGAATAAGGTGTGACCTCTTAGCTAGCTGTTCTTGCCTCCATACTTTTGCTCTGCTATCATGGGACTCTAATCTTCTGACTCTAAACCCAATTAGACACTTTCTTTTAAAAGTTGGTTTGGTCATGGTGTCTCACAACAGCAACAGAAAAGCAAGTAAGACAAATACTTTGTGTGATATACCTATGTTATGCATATCTAAGTACTTGCTTGTACTTGGTAGTGCTGGGGTTGACTTTTTGTTTAGAGTCTGTCCCAGAGAGTAAATAAATCTATTAGTGAGCATAGCATCTACCTGAAGAATATGATGGGTTCTTTTAAATAAAGAAAGAAAAGAATGATAAAGAGACTTTTTACAAGGCTGCTCAATACTTCTTAATACATAGCCAAGTAAATGTAGTAACAAAAATTATATACATGCTATATGTTACACAAGGACCTTTAACAATGTATGCCAGCTTAGCAATACTAAACAGCAATGATTATATTGTATACTATCTATGTATCTATGTACTATATTATTGGTTCAATGTAGTATAAAGTTCATGGTCCCTAGAGATAGCTATCTCAATGATACAGCTTCTTTACTTACTGGCTACATGACCAGCAGAAAGTGTCATTAATAATGAATATTAAAGGTATTCTATTAATGCTTACTCTTTTCCTGGATCAGACATGAATAATGTAAGAAGAGAAGAAAAGCATGGCCAATGAATCTGAAAAAAATGAAGTAGAGTACTAATTTGTATTATAATGGGAAGTTCTAAATGGATATATTATTTTATCTAAAGGATTATTAATATGCTACAAAATAACTCAGGTTGCATACTGAAGAAAATCACCTCACTATCAACAAAATTACTTGAAAAATAAAGGGATTTAATGAGTTTAGAAGAATAAATTACTTAATGTCTGCAAAGTATTAACTGCTACCGTGTTAAGAATTCAACTGCTTCCTGAGAGATAGCCCACCTCTCCCCACATCACAGTCTGTTTTTCTACCTACCTATTAAGATTTTACTCATTTTATGTGTATGGGTGGTTTGACTGCATGTATATATGTGTACAAGTATGTGCCTTTTGCCTAAGAAAGACAGAAGAGGGAATCATATCCTCTGGAACTGGAGGTATAGATGGCTATAAGCTACTATATAGATGTTGGGAATTAAGGCTGGGTCTTCTGGAAGAGTGTGCACTTAACCACTGACCTATTTCTCCAGTCCCAGGTGCTAGATATTTTTAACTTGATCCTCACAGAAGGTACATATACGATCAAACTCCTATATGTTATCCTACTTTTTAAGTTATTGACATTTATCTCTGATTTGTCATGTTATCCTAAGTAGTTTTCTATAAGACATATGATTCATTTTCAGTTCTTTGATTCTACATATTAATCATATTTTTTGCTTTGTAGTGCACGCTTTTCTGGTATTTTTATTTTACATTATTCTTGCAATGTAGTTAATTTTATCAAACTGCAAATAATAGGAATTAGTGGTTTACCTTAAGAGTATAAATGATTAAATTTCTAGCCATATTTGTACACATCTGTACATATTTTCATGTGAGCTATGTGTTCATTTAATAAAATTCAATAAAGAGCTGTTGATATCTGCTATTTAAAACAGTCTAAAATTAAAAATAACTATTATTATACCTAATAGTATGAATGAAAAGCAGACTCAAAAAGCTTGGAGAGTACTTAGGTTCTTTCTGTGGTGTCATGCACTCTACTAATACTGCTAAAATTATTTAACTTTATAATTAATAACTGTCCACCCATCTGCAGAGCATTAAATCACTTGACGAAAAATAAGTTAGGAATAAACTGAACAAAAAAAATATGTTAAAGCATTTAAATGCTCAATCCAGCAGTCACCAGCCCTTGTTAAACTAATGGGTCATAAACAGTCAACAGTGAAAAGGGACAGGTTGGGAAGGGAGGGGCACTGATATAGGTAGAAAGAGACGTAACAAGTAGAGAGCAAGCAGAATACATTATATTCATGTCAAAAACTACCAAATGATTAACATACTAAAATAATAAAATAAAAATAAGTTTGATTAGAGAAAAGGTTTGCAAATTCAAATGCTCACAAGAACTTCTTGTTGTATTAGCCGAAAACACTGCAGGGAAAACAAAATATATGCTCAGAACAGGATCGTTCTGTTTTGCTACATTATGAAACAAGGAGTTTATTGACTAAAATGGATTGAATTTAAAATACAATATGCTAATCATTTATACATTATTTAATTTATAACCTCCGGAATAACCCTATGCATTAATTCCTATTTTTATTTTTCTAACTTCTTTATCAATAGTGAAGAGACCTATGTCTGAAAAAGGTAAGCGAGTATCTAAGGTCACATGACTAGTAAGCAGTAGACCTAGGATTTAGATTAGGCATATATATTAAGAAACTAATATTTAGCCATTAACTAGACAGAAGCCTATGAACACATTTATAAGTCACATTGATAAGGATAATGGTTACAAAAAGTTACTGGAAGGAAAGCTGTGTTCAAAAGGAGGGAAGACAAAGGTGAAACCTGATTTCATGTCTGAAAAAGGTGAGTATCTAAGGTCACATGACTAGTAAGCAGTAGACCTAGGATTTAGATTAGGGTATATATATTAAGAAACTAAGTATTTAGCCATTAACTAGAGAGAAGCCTATGAACACATTTAAAGTCACATTTATAAGGATAATGGTTACAAAAAGTTACTGGAAGGAAAGCTGTGTTCAAAAGGAGAGAAGACAAAGGTGGCTTGAAAGTAAGAGTCTTAACACTAGGGTCTCCAACGGATGTAAAAGAATGCCTTAGAGGCTATGAAGAAACAAAAAGCAGAGAAGGAAAATTAGACATAACTAAGCAAACAGCTAATTCAAGACTGCTGGAGCATCCCTGGCCAAGGACATTGCATACAGCGTTCCAAATTCAAAGCAAAACATCACACAGGCAGGTGTTCAGTCAGTAGCAAATTGCAAGAACTGCTTATTAAATAAAGTTTAGCCTATAAAATTTACTATAATGGTAATACAAAAGGTTTTAAATTATATGTTCGTAAAAAGCAGGTTTTGAATTAATGATTAAAGTTGGAACAGAGCAAGGCCCTGGGTTCAGTTCCCAATTAAGAAATTGTAAATGCAGTATAATTTCCATTTTGATTCATATATTATATCTTACCCTGTTGTTACCAAATTTGTTGAGAGATTAAAATCCTACTTAATTTTTACTCTAGAAATGGTCATAATGCTGAATTGAGGATTTGAGTTTACTGCAGTATAACTAGGAGGCCTTACTAAATGATGTCAGCAAAAGATATCTATCTTTCTACTGGCCAGTAGACAATTGGCACAGTACTATGATAATACATCAGACCTTTACCTTATACATCAGAAATCCACTATCATCATGGCAATCCTTGTTCCTCATTCTCTTGGTGGTTGAGATTATAGGCATCAACCACAACACGTGGAAAGAGGAATTTTATGTCCACTGAACTGCAGTTTCTTCCCTGGTATATGGCATGGACACAACTGAAATTATATTTTCCGTGGTCATTTTCTATAAATTCAGCTTCTATTTTTGTTCAACTTGTCATTTCAAACAATGGTTATCCCACATGTACCCCACCCCTACTCAGAAGAGCTCAAGGAAGTAATTTTAAGGAACTTTGGGAATGGTGTCCTGGGAAAACTTATTTTTACAGCTGAAGCTTAAGATCCCTATTCTAACATTATTAACCAACTAGTTTTAATTAAAGCTTTTAATTAAAAACTTAAAAATACTATAATATGTTCAGGGGGCAGTGAGTATATTTGTAAAATACAATGTAATTTTCCATATATAAAATCTAAAGTAAAGATGGGGGTAGAGTACCTGAAAAAGTCACTACAAGCCGCCAACACACACCGATGACATGGGATTATTTCTTCTTTCACGACTATTTTGAAATCATAAAAGATATTCTGTTCTCTAAAACTCTGTAGTACAGTTAAAATTTTCTGTCCATGATCTTCTGATGCAAGGAAATTCTTCTTTTCAGATGAGATTCCATTCCATGAGTTTTGTTCATTGAAATCATATGAATTAGCCATATCCAATTCTACCTGTTCTTAGAACTGGAATAAAAAAAAATTAATGTTGTAGAAAGCCAATGAATTTTTCAGACTTAATTTGCCTTCTTCAGGCTGGCAAAAGAGCTTATCAGGGAAGAGCTCTTGCCTTGCAAGCTTCGTGACCTAAATCAGGTTTGCACAAAGACCCCATTTAAAGGTGGAAAAAGAGAACCAACTCCAATAATTGTCTTCTGGCATCCACATGCTTATCACACACACTCAATAATAAATAAAATGAGTCATAAAAATGTACTCATGGTGTGAAATTATAATATTCAATAGCAGCAATAACATGACAGTAAAACTTTAAACATGTTTTTTATGAATTTCTTATTTGAATTGATAAATATATAATTGAGGCTTGATATCTATGGTTATAGGATTGACTGTACAGGCTGTATGAATGCCTACCCTTTTTAGGCCTTCACTACATGCCTCATATTATTGCTATTAAATAAGTATTATTCTTGAAGCAGTTCTTTTTGTAGGGTACAATATACAGTCTGTGTTCTTTTATGTATAATCTTTTGGGGAAAAAATTAGGATTAAAATGCTGATACTGACATACCAACTTCATGTCTTCTAACTCTAACCTAAACCCTCACAAGAGAACTGACTTAAGAAAAAAAGCCACCAGAGTTTGGTGGTATTAACTGACTTATGACTGTAGTGGTTTGATTGAAATTGGCCCCCATCAGCTCATAGAAGGTCGCACTATTAAGAGGCGTTACCTTGTTGAAGTAAGTATAACTTTGTTGGAGGAAGTATGTCACTGGTAGGTGGGCTTTAAGGTTTCAAATGCTCAAGCCAGGCCCAGTATCACTCTCTCTTCCTGCTGCCTAGCCATTGGGATTACTAGTTCCTTTCCCAGCACCATGTCTGCCTGTGTACTGCCATGCTTCCAGTTATGATTAAAAAGTGGACTAAACCTCTTATTAAGTGAAAGCCAGTCCCAATTATGAGTTGCTGTGCTCATTATGTCTATTAACAGCAATAGAAACCATAACACAATGATCATTAGAAAGGTGACCTATTGGAAATTAGAAAGAAAAACAGCATACTAATACTAGTAATATTTTAAAAAGGTGTTCTAAATATAAGGTAAAGAATGTAAAACATCTCTGGAGGCCAGAGAATCATTAACTCCCCGAATAATAAACTCATGTCCAAACACACACAAAAAAATTAACACCAAAAATTAAGAACTAAAACAGGAAGGAAGACTGAAAACTTGGGAAATCAGAGAAATAGGGAAACTGATTCCCTAGTACCTTTCTCTTGTGGTTCATTGCCTTAAAATCCCCTGATTCCTAGTGGCTTAGGACAATTTAGTCTTCTCAGGGGTACTGAGAGCTTAACTGGAGCTTCTTGCTTGGGTTTTCACAGAACTCTAGAGAGTCATACTGCAGGCAGCTATGGCTAGACTCACCTGAAGTCTGGTATCTTTAATATGGCCTCTTTTAAGGAAAGCCATAAATAAGAACTATTGAGCTGGAAGGTGGTGGTGCACATCTTTAATCCTAGCACTTGGGAGCACTTAAGATGACAGGAAGTTAAAGGCTAGCCTAGTCTACAGAGAGAGTTCCAGGACAGGTTCCAAAGGAACACAAAGAAACACTGTCTTGCAAAAAGCAAAAAAAAAACAAACAACAACAACAAAAAAACAAAAAACAAAAACAAACCACCGAGGAATTAGAAGTGGGGTGAAGAGCATTACAATGGGTTTAAATGAAAAGGGAATAGTTTGTAGACTTTTTTTTTTGCTTATGTTGATGGTGGTGGTGGTGGCAGTGTGCCTGTGCCAGAGTAGGACAGACTCAGGGTATTCGTCTCCCGACTTCTACCTTTCTTTGGGAGATGAGTTTCATGTTATTCAATACTGTGTACTTTGGGCTACCTGGTTCACTGGCTTCTTGGGATTGTCCTATCTCTACCTTCTATATCTTTTAGACCCACTTCACATGAGATAGGTATACAAATTGAATTCTTCATGCTAGCATGACAAGTGCTTTACCCACTAAACCATTTCTTTGGTCTTTGGTCCCTCAATTATTCTTTTAAGAAATCCAACAAAGTCAAGGTAAGAATAAGTAGGTACTTAAAAATTTTATGCATATATATATATTATATTATATATTAACGTAACTATATAATATATGCATACACACATATAGTTATGTAATACACACACACACACATATATTTGCTATTTGTTTTGAAGGGAGAAACATGGAACATATTAGTACACAAAGAAAAGAGGGTATGTATGAAGAGAACTTTTAACAATAATAATAGTTTAAATTCAGCATCTACATTCATATCTAAATTAAACATTCTTGACTTTTATACAATAAACTGAGGAGCAGCATTATATATAAAAATTTCACTTCTGTTAAACAGTGAACACTGGCAGACAAACAAATGGTTAGAACTTCTGTAGTTGCTTAGTGATACAACCCTGACAGTACCAGTGAGAGACTTGGAGTTAGACTCTCTGACTGACCAACAGATAGGGAGAGGGGTCATGCTTAGGTAATTAAGGTAGCAAATTTTCAAGATGGCTGATCCCTTCCTCATCCTTCCAACTTTGGAGAAAGCCTGACAGCTTAAAACAAAGGCCCTATATAGACTTTTGTGTCAGCCTGAAGATACTGTCTCACAAGTTCAAGAGATCAGGACAGGTTACACAACAGTTGTGGGCCAACCAACCATCCTATCTTTATTCAAACTGACTCCTGTCTCAAATGTCTTGACAGAGTTTGTTGACTCCCCATGGGAGGCCTCACCCTCTCTGAAAAATGGGTAGGGTGTAGGGAAGATGGGGGGATCAAGGGGAGGGAAGGGAGAGGAACCTGGGACTGGTATTGTTTTTTAAAAAAATTGTTTAGAAAGTAAGGGAAAAGAATTAGGAGAAGAAAATCCTTCAGAGACTGTAAGCACCCCAGATCTTGAGAAGAGACAAGAGTTTTGGCTTGACAAAGGGTCTTTTTCTCTGTATGTCTAATGCATACATTTGTTTCCTCACCCCCTGTAAATGCCTTTCTTCAACTACTGATGATTTGGTCTGCTCCTGTTTGTCCTGCATGAGATTTCTCAGTTGCTACCTGTTGCTCTTGAGATTTTCCCTGCCTTTTTATTTCTTTAATCCCCAGTCTGTATCATTAGGACATTGGATAATCTCTATGGTTACTTCCACTCAATGTTGATAATAACTCTTTAAGACTGTTTTTGACAATGCTTTCTGCAAAACAATAAGAAAGTTGAGGTTCAGATTAAACAGTATTCCTAAGAATACAGAATGCACTCTGGTCTCTTGAAAAATGTCCTTTTCCCAAGGTCAGGCAAATTAGACAAAGGCCACCATCCCTCAGAGGTTTAAAGAAGGGTCCAGCTTGTTAAAAGGGAGTCATTCTCCTTATCTCTGGCAAGAGGAATTTGTGGCTTTTCATTAATTTGTCAAGGTCACTGCTAGCCTCTAGGCTCCCTCCTTCCCAGGCTTCACAAGCCCCACCCCAACTCATAATCCCCCATTTCTCTAGCCCCCATTTAACCCTGGAAATCTTTCTCCTCTCCTTTCACCTTGCTTTCTGGGAGATAGTCTTGAAATGTTGAAATAACTCCCACCTCCCAGCCCCCACAAAGGGTGGCTACTTTTTTTTTCTGCACCCATTTGCATTCAGTATAGAAACAGGCTTGTTCACTTGAAGTCCATACTGTCTAGAACATTCCTACCCTCCAAAATCAATGCCAAACTTAAAGAGCAGCTCCTTTAATCCCAACACTTGTGAAACAAGACAAGGGGATCAGAATTGGAGGCCAGCATGATCTGCAGAGCAAGTTACAGAACAGTCAAAGCTACACAGAGAAACCTTGTCTCTACAAATCAAACAAACAAGCAAATAAACAAAGCAGTTTTACTTATAAGATCTTCATAAGGCAATGCTAAAAAGTTACCACAATAAATTGAGATCAGTTTTGAGACAGGGTCTCACAATGTTGGCTAGCTTTGAATTCAAGGAGGCTTTTGCCTATAACTCTATTATAACATGATTGTCTAGTCTAAAGGAACTCCAGTTTCCCAAACTATAAAAAGAAGTCCATTGTCCAGAAATAAGCTCAACCTGAGGATTTGTAGTGGCTAGATAAAAGCCAGCATCCATCAGGAACCGTTAACCCAGTTCCCATCTGTCAAAGAGTCATTTCCCTTACCTCTGGGAGAAGGAACATATGGCTACCTATCAGCATATCAAAAGTATATGC